TTTTCACTTGAAAGAATAGTGGCGATCTTGGGATTTTTTTCTGTTCAATTTTCAAACTGTGTAAATTTAATACACTTCATCTTCAGCATGTTTAGTGCCACTTTTGTAAGTAACCACGCCCCCGTACAGGCCACGCCCCGTACAGGCCACGCCCCTTCCGCTTTTTTCATCACTCGCCATTGCCATGTATGAATGTAAAATCACTACCAGTACATACAAAAAAAACCCAATAATTTACAGAAAAATTAATGATTTGAACAAATCACTATTACACTGTTGAATATTATATGACAATTATTTGTTGTAAACGACAGAGCAACAAGGGCGGAACATGCAGTCACATTTTCTGCTTGTGAAGCTTGCTTGTGTTTCCCGCTGACATTTTAACAATTGATTTGCGCTTGTGACGACAACGTGCATCGAACAGTGACGTCATCCCTCAGTGTCACACTTTTCAGCCAAGCAAAACAATGAAGGTCCTATGACCGTAAATGAGCCACCTAAAAAGATGAGTCGTCCTTAGACGGTAGGTCAACTCCAATGCAAGAGTGTACTCCCAAGTATTCGTTCACTATGCTTACATTGTATGAACAACGAATGAAGGTTAATTCATGGTAATTGCCTCACAATCCCGTTTGGGGATCGCGTGTTCCACAACTAGACATTTACGCTGCACTGCTGGAGGAGCATGGATGGAAACAACGTTGCACATATCATTACAATAAGATGTGTACAACGGTGTACATTCCTTGAAAAGTTTTTGACCGCATATTTTGAATATTAGGGCTGGGTGATATGACTGAAAAGTATTTCACATTATATTAGTATTCCATATTGATCGATATACTGTCTGTTTATTTATTTTAAATAATGACCCAGAGGAAAAAAAGGTGAATTTATGTCATTTTATTTTAACATTGAGTACTTCATCTTTAATAAGAAGCCAACGCAACTATGGAAAAGTCGAATAAACTGGTCAATTTAAAGATTAAATGAACGCCTTTGTACAAATAATGTGCTTAGTGGGCCTGGGCAACATGGCTGAACAAGTTTCCACAGTATAAGTATTTTATGATTTCAAGAAGTCAACAAAAATATTAGCAATGGGGATTTGGTGTGATGCAGCGCATGTGTTTCACACAACTGCAAACAATAACCCTAGTGTTTTGATGCATAACCTCATCACTGCGGGGGATAAGGATGTACAGCTAGTAGGTTTAGTAATTCTATCCGAATGAGACGATAAATGTTCATCAAGAAAGATTCCATGCTACTGTTAGCTGTGCTTTTCAGGCAATGAAAACATCTCCCAAACCAATGATCATGAATTGTTTCTGTAAGTTTCGCACCACACGGTGTGACTGCAGGGCCAGGCCCATCGCAAAAGGGGCACCGGTAGAGTGTCGGAGATTAAGAGAAAGTGTCTTTTTATAGCGTGTGTCATTAACACACGTTAGCCTAGATGTATTTATTTACACAAGCAGCATAAATAGCGAGCACCAGTGACAGCGATAGGGTTTCATAGGTTTGGGCTGACAGGGTGGGCGCAAGCACGAGGTGTTTCCTCGATCGTACTCGCTGATTTATCTTCGGGTCATAAAGCTTAAATAGACATAGAAGTGATGTCACTCTCACCATCAGCTGTTTGCATCTCTGGTGGCAAATTTAATTACTGCTTGGTTTGATAAATCACAGTCACATTACAACAGTTAGTTTTTAGCCAGAGGTGCCAGGCCATTTTTTTTCTTTTGGGAGGGCGGTTGGGGTTACATTGGAAATACTTTCTTCATGGGAACATCACATATATCTGTGTGGAGATTAAATGGCATAAACCTTGTAACGTACGACAAACAGAGATGTGCAGCAATATTCATAAAAGCACGATGCATCTAAGAATCGGAAATTACTCCCACCCCGAATTGCACAAATGTGACTAAGCAGCCCACTTACTTCATGCAAATGATCTTAATTCTATGTTTAAAAACACGACAGTGTCCTTTTAAACTATCCCCGGGGATCACATTTTTTTAAAAGGCAGTCATGTGATTCAACACGGAATAATATCATAAACTTCTTTTCCATGTCAATTAATCTCGGCTCACATTTTATGACCAAATTCTGCAGAATTCCACGTTCACATACGTGACAAAGTTCACTTACTTTTTCTTGCAATGGTATAAAGCTACTGACGATGCATAGGAAAGCAAAAAAAAATAAAAAAACATGAGATCAAAGGTACTGCCTGAAGAGCTTCAAGATAGTATTGATATTTTGATCTAGTTTGACCTTATGTTTCCAAGAGGGAAGTGGCCTTTATAATTAATGGAATTGGTAGAAACATTCACCCTTGAGCTCGCTGGTGACTGAAAACCCAGCAGTCATTTTGGCTGGCTTCCATAGATTCTTTGAAGATATCAGCCGGGAAGTTCTGGATTAGTACCAAGTTGTCTCAAACATCAGTCCGATCATTTAGAAATGATCGCAATCACTGTGCAGCAGGATTTGTTATTTTTTTGTTGTATCCTTGTCACAAAGACGTTTCTGAAATCTTCAGGCAATTCCTTGAACCGCATTGCTTGATTTTTGCTTTAATATGCTGTGTCAGCTGTGGGGCCTTGGGTTGTTGTCGATTCTCTGTTTGCAAGTTGCAAGTTCCTCTGTGCCCAATTGTGTTTAGATTCTCGCCCCTTCCACCTAAAATTGCAACTCGGAGTCCAGGAAAATGGTCAAGTAGCGATGAGGATGAACTGTTTAGAGCAGAGGTACCCAACCAGTAGATCGCAATCGACCGGTAGCACGCGAACTGGTCCCAAGTCGATCGCGGGAGTCTAGGGGAAAATAGATAAAAAAAAAAAAAAAAGATGTGTGCGTGTTATTAATATTCTATATTTTTGTGTTAGTGCATACTGCACCCGAAGCATCCTCTCAGTTTCACTTTCACAAAAATAGCATTTAAAAAAATAAAATAATCTAACAAAGCAGGTCCTTTAACCTACGGCGGCGCGTGACCTGCATCACTGGAAGTTGTTAGCGGTCAGCAGTGTGCACTTGCAGACTTTTAATTTTTATTCTTCCCATTCAAAGTTTGTTTTATGTACAATGGCACTGGCATAGAATGGGAATCTTAAGTGCCACTAGAAAAAAATTAAAACGATACACGTGAGCTACGAGAGTGACGTTGTTGCACTGGAGACGCTGCCAAAGTGTGTCCCGTGCTGCCGCGACAGGTCTCGACTAAGGTAGGTACTGATTCCTTTTTACAAACTTACAAGCTCTTGTGTCTACTTTATTGTTGTGTTTCGTTCGTTTCAGGGCCGTTATGGCTGTTGCTTATCATGGCATGCGTGTGTAAGTGCGTGCACGTGTGGCAGCAGGTCGATCGCGGGAGGTCGGTTGCTTGAAAAGTCGATCTTCTGTCAAAAAAGGTTGGGCACCCCTGGTTTAGAGCAATTCGATGCCCGATAGCGAGCAGGCATCATGGGTTCAACTCCCTCACGATGACCAACATATGTGGCCTGGGATTGGCGACCAATTCAGGAAGTTGTCTGCCGTTCCTTTCTGAAGTTAGGATCGGCTCAAGCTCCCCGTGACCCTGAATAGGATAAGCCAGGGGAAATCGCTCGATAATGTCTATTCCTTGAACACACGAGACTTCAATTCATGACGTGTCACAGATGAATATTGTCACATAGTGTAGGTCCCCAGCATCTGTGAAATCAAAGTGATTAAACTCAAATCAAGTGTTAGAATAAAATACTCGGCTGAATGAATCTTTGTGAAACCCTGCTCCACTCCTGCTAGAATTACGGCCTCTGCCTTGCATCACTGCCGAGGACGAAGATGGTCCAGAAAAAAATGGACCAGCTTTTGAAAACTGTTTTAGATTTGGAAATAACTACTTGGCTTTGTCTCTCAAATGCAGGTTTCTAAGAAATACACAATTTCAAGACTATAAGATAGTCTGGAAATCCACTGTAGTTTTGAAATGTTTTTGTCATCTCTTCCCTCACTAATGAGAACCCCTCTTTTTGCCTTCCAGTTCTATATCAGCCTCTCGGCCATGGCCTGTTTGAGCATCGCCAGCGTTGCTATCCCGCCTCCGCCTCATTTGCCCGACTTGTTTCCTGTGCTCGTCTCTACTTTTTCTTTCGTTCATTTCTTGGGGACATTTCTGTACTTCAACGTCGTCCAATTCAGTCCACCGCCAAGCAAAAAAGGCCAGAAGAAGAACAAATAAATCTTGTACACACAAAGGTTATCCCAGCTGTCTTCAGGCAGTAGGCGGGGGACACCCTGAACTGGTTGCCAGCCAATCGCAAATACACACACACACACACACACACACACGTTTTTATATACTATTCTTGTACAAGCCCTTAATTGACCATCTTGGGAAAACACAAATCCCATTCAAATTCATTGAAATGTAGCAGTCCAACCGCTTTGCATTCCAGCTAGGAGTGGATCTCTGATTTGTTCCTTCAAGGCAATTTTCAAGTAACATTTTAACATTCCTGTCTGTCATAAACTGTTTATATAAAGAGGGGATGCCTGTAAGATGCATTTTCCACAATTTCATACAGTGAAGGATTACATGTCTGTGGCATGCTTTTTGTCAAACTACTCCGAGGATCAAGAATTACAGACATTTTCAAAACTCTCTTGCCATTGTGAAATTGGCTTGTTTTTGGGTCCGATTGCTCACGTGCGATGCGCCAGCATTCATCCCACCTCACAAACTGCTGTGTCAAGGGTGAATCCAAATTTTATTCAACCAAAACTTAATGTGAAAGTGGCTATGTTTCTTTTTAGTTTTACATTTTTAATCGGTAGGTAGGCAGAAACCCAACACTTTGTGCATAAACATGAATGCCACAAGTAGATTGAAACATCCATCCATTATCTGAAGCGCTTTATCCCTACAAAGGTCACGGGCATGCTGGAGCCTATCCCAGCTGTACACCCTGAACTGGTTGCCAGCCAATCGCAGGGCACACGTAGACGAACAACCATTCACACTCGCACATTTAGAGCCTCCAATCAATTTACCATGCATGTTTTGGGAATTTGGGAGGCAAACTGGAGTACCTGGAAAAAGCCCACGGAGGCACTGGAGGAACACCATACAGGAAGGGCGTGCCCGGAATCCAGCCCTGGACCTCTGCACTGTGTGGCAAATGTGCTAACCAGTCGACCACCGTGCCTCCCATTTATGAAACATGATGATGATTGTTTTTATATATTCAGATTGAGTTAGAAATGACGAAAATGCCCTTTTTTTTTAAAGCCACGGTCGCTGGCTCATTCTCAATTGTTTTTTTTTTGTTTGTTTTTTGTTAAATCCACCTCCATTGTGACACCACAAGATCGCCACTGCTGACGGAGGGGACTGATTAATGTGTGCAGGATTCGGGTTAGTGTGGATGTGTTGTTTCAAACCTGGACAGGTAGTTGTCGTGGATGGATGTTGATAGCATGGGACCTTTAAAAAAATGTACATGCATGACCCCTTCAAGAAATGAAAATGATGAAATATTAATACAGTAGTCGTAATAATAATAAAGGCAGAATGGGTTGAGCCCGCGACCCTCATGAGGATAAGTGGATCAGGTCATGGATGGATGGATAATGTGTTGAACTGTATTGCAGGTTCACTTCTCAGCAATTTTTTTATTTTGTGTGATTGTTTTTGTACATTACTAGTATAAAAAAAGAAATTGTTTCTGTGTTATCACAAAACACAAGAAAAGATTTACCACTACAAAGACCAGGCCGTTGACTTTTGAGGCTCACCCAAGTTAATGAGCAGAATGAGAATAGTGAGCTGGATTTCATGTCACTTGTCTCCTGGCAATTGTATCCAATACTTTGCAAAGCTGTTCGTTTTGGTGAAATTGCCTTTTCCTTGGAATTAACTCGTCATCTGAATGGATGGTGCCAAGTACTTTTTTCTTTTTTAGACTGCATATTTTTTTTACATACTATGCAAGTGATTTTGTACAGATGTATTTTTATCAGAAAACAAAATAAAGTTCCCTGCAACCCTAAGTGAACACCAGCCCTGTATTTCCTTCTTAAATTAGACAATTCCGAGCAATGATATCAACAAATTCATTTTCCTCGACCACGACTGAGTATTGGGAAGCGACAGAGCCAGTAATTAGACACAAATGACATCGCCGAAGGGTTTTACTCAACAATATTAAACATTTATTTCAAGCCCTTGTTACCACTAAAGGCCGCCTTACAAGACATGGACATTTTACACAAAACCAACGACAGGACAGGCCCCTAAAAGAGATGATGGAAGGTGACAGTGGATAATGCTATAAACTTGAAATACCACAGCAAAAACGGAACATGCAATTTCGCTCTCTCTCCAATCTTTCTCCGAGTTAATGACATGGGCATAAAAAAACCCATTACAACTATAAATGTTAGCAGGTCAGTGAGAGGTGTTGGAGCATCAGAGGCTCTGAGCCGCTGGCCAATAAAGGGCAGCCCAAGTTTGGATTTGCTTTGTTCTTGCTTTGAAATGATGGGGACAAAATCGGATCCATTTAATAACTTGTATACATGCTTGTTTGGGAAATGACTAGCTCAGATTTATGCGGTTGACATGAAATCAAAGAGACACACTGACTGGTTTTGCTTTTCCTCTTTTTCCTCATCGAATGAGCTCCCAATGAACATCTGGAAAAGTATGCTTTAAATGGCTCCCTTTTGATTCACACGGGTCATGAATATGATGCCATCTTTGTGAAGGCACGAGTTTACCGTGACTATGAGGAGTGTCATCAGACTTAGTTGACATGCCTGAGCTCTCAAATGGGGAAAAGTAGATTCCACTCCCTATATTCTATCTTGAGAGAAAAGGATATCTACTTCAATGTCTGCACATTTTTTTTTTTTTTTTTGTCACATCATTTTTGTGGACATTCCAACACAAATGGATCTTACCATCGTGCTTTTCTTTTTATGTTGACATTTTTATAGCTTAGCACACAGCGCAACAGTACCGGACATGGTGTCATTATTTCTTTTTCTTGTTCTTCGTCGGTTTCATGGTGGTTGGCAAACACCTTTTGGTGGATCGCCGCCACCTTGTGAAATGGAGTGTGGGTCTGGATAATCCTAATCGATCACAATCTCCTATTTAACCCTATTCTGTCCAAAATAAAAATCGAAATTTAAAACTTAACTCACTGGAACTTCTCCACAAAAGCCGCTTTCTAACTCGTTGGCTCTTTAATCACTTGTTGTCTTGCCTGACTATGACACAAGATTTTAATACATTTCGTTTTCGTTTGTTTATTGAACATAAAACATATACAGTAATAATTTGACAGAAAGTAAGGTAAGTAAAATAGTAAAAAGGAAAGAGAATCAGTCATCATTCAACACATTATTATGTTCAAGGGAGTAGGAAGAAGTAAAAAAATTATCTAGTCCTACCCCATGTTATGTGTTTATATATAAATAGATCATTTTTATATCAATCAAAAAAGAAAGAAAGTAAGAAAAAAGAAGTCTCCATTAAGGCTCATGCTTTACCCTTAACGGTGATATTTTTACAACTTTTGGTTTCTATCGGGATTTTATACACACATTTTATACACACCCTGGCACTCTTGTGTCAATTTTCTCTTGTATTCATAATGGATATTGCAGTACCTTTCTCTCTTTATCAACTTAATTTTGATTTATTATTATCTTTAATTAATGTTTAGAATTTATCACCTTAACTCTGATTGATGTAGGTTGTTTGTACTATTTTTTTGAATTTGTTTTTGAACTCAGCAAGCGATTTACTCATTTTCAGGTCCGTTTCGAAATTATTCCACAGATTAACACCTTTGACAGATACACTTCTTTGCTTGATGTTTGTTCTTGTTTTGAGTTTTTTGAATAAGTTGCCACCTCTTAATTCATAGCAGCTTTCTCAAATTTCGAAAAACTTCAGAATGTTTTGGCAGAGCAGGTTATTGTGTGCTTGTACATTAATTGGGCGATTTTAAAGTCAACCAGGTCATAAAATTTCATCGTTATTTAATTTGATAAATAGTGGATTTGTGGGTTCCGTATATTTTGATCTATTAATAATTCGAATTGCTTTTTTTTTGTAGTTTTAGAATAGGGAGTGTGTTTGTTTTACAGGCATTTCCCCATATTTCCACACAGTAGGTCATATATGGTAATAACAATGAAGAGTATAATGTGTACAAAGATCTCTTATTTAGCACATCCTTGGTTCTCTTACACACTACATGTGTAAGAGAATAATAATTTAGAAAACTTACACATTACATGTGTAGTGTGTAAGTTTTCTAAATTATGTATCTTTTCTGAAAGTCTTATTCCGATGTCAAATAGACCCCTTTCCATTCTACGTCATCATATCATTGGTGCAAAAGAACAGTAGATGTACATTGTTTGGCTGGGAAGATTGAAGTGGAAAGGGGTTCTAGTTTTTCTTAATTCCAATAGAAAAAAGCAGGCGCCTGTGGCTGCAGACTTTTCAACATACATACTGGGCCGAGGACATCAACAGGGAGGCCTGCGTTCGCGGTGCTCATTTCATTTCTGGTAAGTTATCACGCCCATTTGATTTAACGTCTATGTTTTGAAACTTGGAGTAAGCCGTCGGAGAATTGTGGCATAATGGCCAAGGTTTGTTTGTTACTACTGCAGCTTTGAGCTTCCATGCACACTCGCCACAAGTAACCAAAGCGCTTCATTAGCATTATAGTTTTTTGATGTTTATCTTGGGAGTTTTCCCCTGGACCTTAGCAACATCAAAATGACTAACTGCTGGTGTTCGTCTTATGAGCAGGTATGAGAAAATTAACTAATTTCCGACATTTTTCATGGGGGCGTATGCGGAGTGATCACGTCGCGCAGATCTGTTTTGCGCTCCTCTCAGAAAACCACACTGATTTGTTAAGAATGTGTTTGCCCCGTCTATTTTTAGATTTCATGTACAGTGGAATCTCCCATCGCCTCGTTTTCAGTTTGATGGTTTTCATGCAATATTTTAGTTTAGCGGACACCTGGCGGGACAACTCACCTTTGACCATCCAATAAGCGTTGAAAGCTACCTTGCTTTCTTATGTTGACGTGTCACACATCATTTGGACATGCAGACATTTCATCAAATTTCTTCGATGCAGAAGAAAATGATACAGTGCCAAAATTTGTCAGCTAACCTTGAATAGGGGGAAAGGCAAGGGGTAAGGCAGCCGTCCGTTGGCAGCGATGGTGTGAGAATCTGGTAGCCTAGCAAACAACGTCAGATGGGAGTAAAACTCTCAAAACATAAAACTGTGAATCTAAATTGTGATTTCTTATGGTCTGTAAATTTCCACGTCACATACTTGTAAGCATCCAGTGGCTCGCAGTTTCTCTCTCGAGTAAACACTGGGTGTCTCCACTAAGTACAGATGAATATATGGCCATGGATTAGACATCGGGCCACTTTGAAACATCCTCCCCACACCCTTAGTCTGCTTGTGTACACGTTCTCAAATGCCGCACGTTTGCACCAACAATGTGCACGCATTCCGATGACACCACCTTTTTTGACAAACACGGAAAGGGGTCGATCGCTTCACTACATTCCTCAGACCACCAAGGCACATTCCTCCTCCTCCGTTTTGGCTTGGTATTAGGAATGGCAGCCTCTGCAGCAGTAATTCTCTTCCCTGTGACGTCTTGATACAAGGACTCAATACTGAAGAGTTTTTTCAACACAAAGTAGCCCTCTTTGGCTCCTCTCTGAAAATATCCCCCAGTCAACTTTAGCCAAAACCTACTGACCAACCCTTAGATTACATCCCCTAACCAGTCTGTATTTGCCTCGTGGGCCATACTTAGCCCACCTCTGTTTTAGCTGCAACCCCCCTCACCCCCAAAAAAAAACAAAAAACACAAGCACCGACAATGCAATTATGGTACACTTCCCAGACATTGTATCAACATTGTACTTTTAAACAGGTGTCCATACATCCATCCATTTTCCAATCCGCTTATCCTCACAAAGGTCGCGGGCGGTGCTGGAGCCTCTCAGCTGTCTTCGGGCTGTAGGCAAGGGACACCCTGAACCGGTTGCCAGCCAATCGCAGGGCACACAGCGACAAACAACCATCCGCACTCACACTCACACCTAGGGACAATTTGGAGTGTTCAATCAGCCTGCCATGCATGTTTTTGGAATGTGGGAGGAAACCGAAGGACCCAGAGAAAACCCACGCAGGCACGGGGAGAACATGCAAAGTCCACTCACGGAGGCCGGAGCTGGAATTGAACCCGGCACCTCTGCACTGTGACCACCGGGCCGCCCTTAAACAGGTGTATTATCGGTAATTTCACATATTTATTGCATTGGCATGAAACATCCTGAAAGGTGTTTCTACTCACGTGATTCCCTGATAAATGTTTGGAATGATCTCCTCGTGCGATGGATCGTGTGAACCAAACATAGTTTTGCTTTTAACTTTGAGAACAGAAAACAATGTAATCTAACGAAAAGCACATGTTCAAACACATAAATCCCATGAAAATAGAATTTATGTGTGAAGCGATAAATCCCTAATGTGAAATGAACAGCAAAATGGAAGAAATTAGCAAGTGAGGCTTGAGATTCCATTCGGGAGGAGCAACAGGGAAGCTTTTGAAATCTACTTGATGCAAGCAGCAAATCATCTTGTGACTGTCACATTCAACATTTAGTCCCCGATTATGTGTCAAAAGTCAATATTTGTTCCCACAGTGAGAAATAAGGTCAACCACGACTGCCTTGCAAATCATTTCGGATTAGAAGATGGTACATTGAGTACTTCCTGTATTCTCCCAAGTGAAACTTTGCACTCACAGGAGATCAAGGAAGCATTCATGAGAAACTTGGGGCCACTTACACTTATCAGGCCGACACTCTCGGTGGCCATTTGCAAGTGTGTTGGAAATCTGTACGACACTCCTGAGGGGCCTGAATGAAAACATTAGTTATGTTTACAGTTGTGCCGGCTTTGTCCTTCACGTGGCCTCTAAGGGCGATAAAGTGAGAGTTACACGATCCACCTTAGGCAGAAATAGGAAATGTTGGTGCGAATCGCAGCTGTTGCTTGGGTCGACTTGTGCGGCGAGAGGCCTCGGCCTTCCCAGGCACCGCCAAATAAAGAGACTACTGTGTCGTAAAACTGCCAACCCCCCTTCGCTTACGCCCCGGACCCAATCCCGTCACACACACACACTTTTACTTTTCCAAGGTGTGAAACTGCAGAGGTGGGCAGGATCGCAACAGCTTGAGCCACAGATGAGACGACAGTTGCTGATGGCAAGAACATTATTTGCGCAAAGTTGCTGGATTGGGGTTCTTGTGTGCAATCAAAATGTGTCAGTTGCCTGGCAGAGGACGGACGCGGCATACATGACGGATGATTCGCGGCTAAACATCGCAGACGCACCTTGGGCAAACGAATGACGGCATCCGAGACGTCTCGCCTGCGCGACTGACAGCGCACATTCGACATCCGCCTCCAGTTTTACCTGAGCGGGTTCATACGCCCGGCGCTTCACGGGAGGTGAAGAGCAATTCCGTGAGCTGTCAGCAGCCGAGATGACTCGCAAAACAAAATCCTGGGGAATATGAGAGAAGAAAACATGATCGTAACCCTTCTGGCACCCACTCATATTCCAAACTCTACACTAACTGTCAAGTTGGAATATTTGGCAAGTATCAGTTCAACATGAGAACCGTTTTCAATATGCCACAGAAATTCACTCACACAGTAACATGAAGAGATGATTATTAGACCTTAGTACACAAGTTTACAAATTCTTTGGCACTACCCATTCTTATGGCACCTTAATAAAAGAAATTTAAAAAAACAAACATTTGGATATTGTGCTCCAATGTAAGACAAGGTGCTGCAAAAGTAGACATTAAATTTGAATTGGATGGGACAAATTCTCTCCGAATGTGCTTCAATCAAAAGCAGGTTGGAGTTGAACATTATATGTGATGAATGTTGCCCACTCTGCATCCATTGCTGCCTGCTCATCCAAGACGGGATCCCTTCCCAACGTTTCCCAAAGTGTGTTTTCACTGGGTTTTTCCTTGGCCAGATGAGGGGTTTAGACCAGAGGAGGCTGTCAATTCTGTCAACTGTGGGCTTGTGACGCACCTTTGACTTTTTTCTGATTCAAGGTTATAGCAGGGATAGACAAATGCTGGAAAGGACCACAATCTTTTTTTTTTTTTTTTTTTAAATCACTGCTCCTAATGACGGGGATTTGAAATCTTCAAGGAATATTCCCATTGCTAATGACATGACAAAATATGGAGGTTGAAATATGATTGGACAATTTTTTTTTTTTAAATACCTCCATAAATGCCCACTGGAAGTAGTGCAATTAAGAGAAACACTCGGAAATGAAGAGAATAGACTGTTGGCAAAAGATTGCGACCAGTCCAGGATTTTCGCCGCTGTTTGGCCTGAGTCAGCAGAGATAAACTCCAGCACACACTCGAACCAAATGAGGATGTGCTCGATTGAATTCTAAACTTCTGTTTGTACACCAGATTTGTAATGGAATAGAGTAATGTTGCCCGGGGGTTGGGGGGGTTCACACCTGGAGGTCATTGTGAAGGTTGTTGGACTTAACATGGCGAGTTCACCTTATTGTTCTTGAGAGTACAAACTGAAGGAAAGCAACGAGGCCGTCTTGTAGTTGCAGCCAAAAAGTTCACTCATTTTGTCTACATTCCTGTAAAGGGGAAGTCAAATCAAAAATGTTCTTCGCAATAATACTTGCCCCCACACGGTATTGTGATTAATATTGCATTTGTAGAACCTAAATGAAGCAGCAAAGATGGTTGAAAATGGGTAATCTACCCATTTCAACCATCTCAGGGGGCGGCCATTTTGTTTCTGTCACCTGAAAATGACATCACAGTGCCCTCGGGCTCATCTTGCAAACGTCACATGACCAAACCCAGAAAACGGGTGAGCCGTGATGGTTGTAACTGAATGTTTGGCTTGACTTCCCCTTTAAGACAATATGCCCGACCATATCCCTCGGTAAGATTCAGCACACAGCAGACCAGCGGTTCTCAAAGTATGGTAGTTCCCTGGAGAAGTACACAAAACAATCGCTGCCTGTTGGGTGTTGTTCAGTTGTTCAGTTTAATACTGAATCTTTTTGAATCTTTAAAGAACTGTTTGTTTTTAAGGTATGGTTTTTGCGATTGGCTGTCAACCAGTTTATATATTCCCTCCCACAATGTTACTGTTCAAACTGTGAATAATGTTACTTTGGATAATCAGACTATTGTAATATTGAATAATAAAAACTCATTCAAGGCAGATTTTGTACAATAATATACCGAAATGTGACGGTGTGCCTAATGTTGTGGCCAATGAGTACATTTTGCACCATTGCTAGAAAACAAAATGCCACTCAACTAAATCAAATCCCTGCCTGAAAAGATTGCACACTATGCAATCCGGAGCACCGATCGAAGTTGGTTGTATATTGCAGCAAAACAGCCCAATATACAACTCTCTCTTTAATTACGGCCGCGTGTTCAATCAGAAAGCATAAAACTCCCAGTGGACAAGTGGCATGTGTCCATGAAGCCTCCGAGGATTGATGCGCCTGCGTTCCAGCACTTCCTGAGCTGGCAGCCCACGACACGGCAAAAAGTGATTGGTTTTTATGACATCTTAAGGAGTCCTCTTTGTAAGACAGCCCACTACTGCTTTCATACAAATCTTTCCCTCCGTGGCCCCATCTACAGACTGATCAATTTTTACACTGCTGAGCCGCCTCCTTTTCGCCCATTTTGTCATAGTCAGATTTCATATTTTGAAGGATCTTTTCTTTTACAGGGAAAAATGTCAATAAACTTGCACAACCATCCTGCTCTTATTTAGTGTTTAATTGTAACTAAAAGCTTCGGGCACATTTAATTTGTTTCTGCAGTTATCAGAACTGTTTAAATGTTATCTATTTTTATGTGACAACGAAAATATATTGTGACGTGCTGCATTGATTTAGAACATAACCATGTCTCCATACGAAGAGGAGGCACCGAATTTATGAATCCTTTGCACAACTCCTTTAATTGAATTTTCCAAATCTCACGGCACACACAAATAATCAATAGCTGCTGCTGTGTGGGACTTGCCTCAGAATTATTAGGGCTGTGCTTTTTTTCCATTTTGTAGTCATCAGCAGATACAGGCACGGTGGGTATTTGTAATGCAGGAACAATACCTGAAGGATTTATGCCTGCTCAAAGTCTTATTGTTTGCTGAAAGTGACTTTTTCAGAATGCTCGCTGAGACTTCTGTTCACATCAAAGAATGGCTGTAAGCACTGCTACCACTGCATCCCTTCGGATTTGTCGAATGGGGTCTAAATATTTTCATGGATTTACTTGACTGCCAAGACAGTGTGCGTTGTAGCCTGAAGTTGAGCCTTTTTCTTTTTCCACAATCAAACTGGAATAGTTTCCAGCAGCAGGACCCTCATGATGCCTGCTCAATCTCGACCCCAAAATACAAAAGAGTAACTTTTACAATGGTGTTGACTATTCCAAGCAGATTGTGCCTCTTATTCATAGATGTCAGTTCATGGCTTGGCACAAAATCAAATTCGACTCCGCCATTTGGTAAACTGTAAATTCGTTACACTCTTCATGTCGAAGAGCCACGAGCCGAAGCGAA